GCTTGACAAGGCAGGACTCTGCTATGTTTTTAAATGCAGGTAGCAACTTAATGGCAGGACTGAGAAGAAACCAGAGTCTTCCAGCCATGATTGGAGCATTGGGAGCTCCAGTTTGCACACAGTCATCAAAAATGGATGTTGTAAAGGAGGACTGAAATGATGGACTTCAAGCACAGTAAGTAATACACGAGGGTTAAGTGTCCAGTACAAGAATCATCAGATGTGTTACAGAAGAGTTGGAGAAGGCACATGCATGTTAATGATGTGGGAGAGAAAAGTGTTAGGATGACAGAGAAAAAGAACATTGCTTGGATTTGAGGAAGACTTTTGTGGAATATAAGGAAGAGGAAACCAAAGCCCGCTTTAGCATCTGTCTTAAGGAAAAAAAAAAATACTGTAGCCATTCTCAGTATTTTATCCTTTTAAACTTCATGTGTACAACTGTCTTGCAGTTGCTGTTCTATTTTTTTCACCATACAACCACATTATTTTACTAGTTGTTAGGAGTCAGGCTCTGTCATTTAATTATAATATGAAAATAACAGTCAATCTGACCAGCTTTACTGGTCCAAGCTCTTCCCTGTAGCAAGCAAATATGAAAACTTGGATTATTATTATTTCTTTTAATTACATTTTCCATTTCAGAAACTGTACTTTTCCAAATTCCTCCCCACTGTGAGAAGCAGGAGAGAGAACCTTTAATTCTATGTAACAAAGCAATACTTCTGTTTACAAACACACAAACTGATGGCCAGAATTTATATTTTGAAATGTGCCAGTGAGGTATTGACAGAAGTAAATTTCTTTCCAGAGCTTCTGAAGCACACAGAGGAAGGCACAATGAATAGGAATTGAGAACAAGGAAATTACGTATTAGGATGAAAACTTCAAGCCAAGCTATCTTTCCAAAGTGTGCTGTGCATCGTCTTCTAAAATGAGGGTATTTTTGCACATACAAGAAAAAATATTAAGAACAGTCTCAGACATATTTCAGTGTGGTAAAAGGAACTAAAACCTAGGTGCTTGATTCAGCTTAAGTGGAGAGCATTTACTTCAAGACAAGTGGCAGAAACTCAGTAAGCTGACTCTTCTCTTGACAGGTGACATTCTGTATATTTGAGAGTTCTGCAGTAAATTTCATGCCTTTGATTCACTTATTTCTGCTTTTAGGCAGGATTCTGTTTACAACACTTCATTAAGAGCAAAATTTACCAGTCTGCATTCAGAAACAGGAAGATGATTGATCAGTGTTCTTTCTAGCTAAAATCAGTTTGTCTACATTGAAATCCTGTGTTTTTTGATGAAGAGTCGTTCTGAACCTGATTCTCAACATAGCTGAGGTAGTCTTCCCATCTCAAAAGAGAAGTCCCTTTTAGAAATCTGTGTTTTGAGCAGTAATCAGCAGCTTACTGCCCATGCTGCTTTTTGGATTCCTTCCTGTCCAAGACTTTAGTCAAATTGAATAATCTGCAATAGATTTAAACTGTAACTTAAAGAAGAAAAAAAAATTTGCCTCAGAGGAATGGGTCTTCACTAGTGACCTGAATGGAAAGCTTCTTAGCCTAGTTTATAGGAATTTTGTAATGTGGCCTTTCTGCTTTTACAGTTCTATAGATGTTGTGATGACTCTGATGTAGCAGTCTTTTCGTAAAAGGAAAAGGAGTAACCACTTCAAACTCGCACAGGGACTCGTCTGTCAGCAGCGCACAGAAATATTCAGGAACTCCTGAATTGCCTTTTGCTCTCTACGCAAAATCTTACACTTATAAAAAGTGAATTTTATTTAAAATACTATATACGGGTTAATTTTTTTTAAATTAAAAATATATTTTATTTCTTCATGTGTTTATGTTTGTATGTAGTTAGCTGTGCATGGGGTCATGCATGCCTATGTAAGGTAAGAGTTAAAGGAGTGGGGCAAGTAATTTTGCTCCTTGGTGAGCTAAGACAGGTATGTCTGCTGTGTAGTTGAAACTTCTTGGAAAACAACAGGAATGAGTTAATGAAAGATTTGCCAGTTTGGTCTCTTATGTCAAAACTATGTCAATTTTATGTGTTTATTCTAGGAATACGTGCAAGTTACAGATACATTTTTCAAGGTACTACTATGTGTCTTAACTAACTTCATTAGCTAGCTCCAGCCATTGGATCATTCTGTGTGGCACCAGCAGAAGCAGCAAATCACCTAAATTAGAAGTCCTTTGGCAGATCAGTTTTCGGTTAAAATTAATCTAAAAGCACATTAATGAAATGCATGTTTGTCTTTGGGATACTTCCATATTCCCTAGCTAAACAATATAAATGGTTCAGTTCAAACAATACTATGGATATGTCTAGGGTATTGTTTGATTTTCTGTAGGATGATGTACCATCAGATACTTTACAGAAAGGCAAGAAGAAAATGGAAGAATCAGTAAGCTTTTCTGTTTGTGTGTTTATCTGCCTGGTGATGCAGTGGTGCAGTGTTGTTGAAGTTCTGTCACCCGTTTATACTTTTGGATGTCACTCACATTTTGTATATATATGACCAACTTGCAGCAACTGGGAAAACTGGTACTTTTATCAAGTTTTCTAGAAGATAAACTTTTTTGAATAACATGTTTTGGAGAACATAATAAAAGATATCATTATTCTAAGAAATTATTTGGCTTCTCTTACCTCTCATGAGAGCAGACAGACATGTATGATTATGGTAGCTGATCCTGCACAAGAGCTTTGGATCCTGCACAAGTGTGATTTCGTTGAGCTGGTGCTGGAACTAGGAGGAGTGGAGAACTGCATTTCAGAAAGGTTTTGCTATCTTGCAGGTTTAATACAAAAACAGAAGGTAGAAAGACAGGTCTTATCCCTGCTTTTATGAAAGTTTTGAGACACAAAATTCTTATAATATTCCTCTTTCTTCAGATTGGCTTAAACCAAGCAGAAATTTATAGCTTGCTAGTTTCACTGTTTTTGATAGACTCAAGTGATACCTGTATGCTCAAAATAGCTGTGGTCAAAGTTAAGTCTACTGGAGTCAAACTGTCAGAGAGGAAAACAGTATTTGGTTTGGTCCTCCTTTGGCTGTTGCATGAAGGGATTACACACACTGTTTCAACAGTCTGGAAACTTCATGGTATTTTTTTACATCTGCTTTTTGCACTTGTTTCATAGTGGAATGTAAATTTGATAATAAACATGTATAACATGCCATTTTTCAGTATATTGGTCATCATGTGTGGTTTGTTCCAGATGTCACCTTATATACTACAGTGTTCTGTAATAAAACTAAAATTAGGCACTTTTTTGGCTAAAATTTAGTGATTGTTGTACTGTACACAAACTTAAGAGAGTTGGTTTAAGAGAGCTGGTAGAGTGTGGCACAAGTGGTGGCTGTAGAAGCTAAGAAATTGATTTAAAAGCTTGATCAGGTTGTGCTGAGCTGTTTGCTGTTGTGTTTATACTCAAGCAGCTACAAGTGGCAGATGCCATGCAGTACAAACTGCAGTCTTGACTGCACGGTAAATGTATGATCCGATTCCTTTTGATTCCTAAGGAAAATGTTGTCTGTGTGAGCATGTTGTCAGACACCTCAGACTTGAGAATCTCTGCTCCCCTTCCAAGGGAAAGCATACTGATAACATTCAGTATTTCTGCTCTGTCTGATTCTCAGCTGGATCCACAGTGTGACAGGCCCAGGATGTATGCAAAGGACTGGAAGTTGCTGAAGAACACAGGTGACTTGTAAGAGGTACAGTGCTGAGCAATATATGTGGAGAGAGGGAATCTAGGAAGAAAATCCGAAGTAAAACAGGTTGCATTAACTATTTTGCCCATGGAGATCATGCTTGTTTATAGTTTCTATTCAATATTTAAGAAAAATAAGTTTCTTTCACTTTGCACATTTCTGGCCATGTTCAGGTAATAGACAAAATTCTCTATATAAGCTGTCCTTGCTTTGGGACAACTCTTAAGTTTCATGAACTAAAAGAAGCATGAAAAACTATCTTGAAAAAAATTACTCCTAAACTTTCGAAGCACAGATTTGCCAGTTTTGTAACCACTTGCTGCATTTGCCACTTGTTGAGGTTCTAATCGTTCTCACACTCTATAACCACTCTGCCTATATCTTTGCAGACAAAAACCAGTACCAAAGAGGAAAGAAGTATTCAGCACAGAAGCACAGGGACTAAGGCTTTTAAAATAAATCCAGTGATGATCTATCTGCTTAGCTAAATCGTCATCTACCTTGGTACCATTGCTAATGCTGAAAGCACAAGGGTGTAACAATGAAAATCTCATTCAAAACAAAACTTAAGCTTCTACTCGGAGCTTGTAAAACTCCTGTTCTGTGAACATACTAATCACAGGAGACTGTAAAAATGTTTCTAAGGAGCTGGGTACTTACCTAGTGAATTCTTTTGCTGTGCTGAGAACTGGGACTCAAAGGTCAGCAAGGTCAATGGACACAGGATCACTGGATATCTTCAAACATGAAGCAGCTGATGTCACTGTTAAGACTATGTAGTGGATACTCTGAAAAGCGGGTCACAGCTACATCCTGCTGAGGATGCTAGAGGACTGGTGCTTCACTCTTACTTGAGGTGTACCAAGACACAAAAAATGAATGGTTTTAAGTGGTAGGGAGAAGTAACGAAACACACTGATGCACGCTGATGATATCCTACAAAATTTGCAGTGCCCCGTCCCTTTTATTTTGCAAAAGTTAGGCATAAAATACACAAGGCTTCATAACAGCTGTCTTTTAAAATTTGCATTGGAAAGATCAACAGCAGTGTGGTACAGCTGACACAAGACAAGGAGCAAATTTTAGCTAGCAAACCACTAATCACAGATCAGCCCAGAGAAGCTCTCAAGTATAAAATGTCATATATTAACACAAATTTATTAAGGCTTCTGCTCCTCAGATGTATTTTTAATTAAAAATACTTGGTTTTTTGATAAAAGCAGACAATGGAAGTCTTGTTATTTTAGACTAAGTCTTAGCTGATACCAGCTGATTTCAGGCTACCGCAGCTCCCTCTGCCATGCAGTTCCCAGCCATTTAGTTGACTGGAAAGATGAGCTTCTTCCTTAGTGTGAAACTGGGCTGTGGCATCTGCTTCTCTGCATTTGGATTGCAACTCTTTCTGCTCACCTCTTGATTCACTGCTGTCAGAATGGTAAGAATATCTTCTCCACTGCAACGATACAAGTACATTTTATATTAGAGAGACAGTTAACATCAGAAAAATTACCACATTCTCAAATACCTTCATCTATACCAGTGGCTTCTGTTTTAAACAACCTTCAAAGCAGTTAGATATGCTGCTTTGAACTATCTGCATGGTGTTGCTCTATGCCTCATCACTGTTTTCACTCTGAACAAGCACTCCCACTGCATATCATCTAGCTCTGCATCCAAATCAAACTCCTGTCATTCAGAAGGACTATGTAATCATAATTACCGAGGACAGCTGTACTCCAGCTGCTTACACAATGCCTGTATGTACCAGGTCCCCTGTCTCGGGCTTCTGTAGGACACGTAATCTTGCAAGGTAGCCATGCCCAAGAGGAAGTCTGCCTCTGCAGGGATGCAGTCGAGCTGAAATCTTGCATCTGTTTCTAAAGAAGAATCTTGATCTCCAGAATCTGTTTCAATGATCACACCCTTCTGGCAAGCATCACCTTGGCAGGCCTGAACAAAAAAGACTTTTGGTTTTCCAGCAAGTGAGCGGCAATTCTGTCCAGTGAAACAAGTGGTCAGTTCCTGGATAGGCACTTCCTGTCCATCAACACCATATATAACGCCTTTTTTCCCATGAGACAGGATACAGCAAACAAAACAGTCTTTGTCCTTATGGTCTTTGCACCGGTAAATGTCCACGGTCTCACGGATTTGCTCTGCAGTAAGGTCTCTATATTCTGCTATTTCAAAATGGAGATTGCTGAAGACTCTTCTTAGAGCCTCTGGAAGGTAAACAGGAGGGGAATGAGCTGTTTCATTATATGAAGGTTTGGCTCTGCAATTGCAAATTGCATTTCTAGAGACAACCTGTCTTTTTTACATCTTTCTACACTACTCTCCAGGTAGTTACATTCCTG